TATCACATCAATAATACAGTAATGTATAGAAATGGTAGTAATATATCAATGAAAGAAAAACAAGTACAAATAACAGAAAATATAATTTATTCATCACCATTATCTATAAATGAAGAAGAGGACTTTGGAGTACTGTTAGTAATGGATGAGTAGTACACTCTGACTGCTTCAAATATTTTAAAATTAAGTTTTATTTCAAGTGTCTCAAATTACCACATTCCCAGGGTAATTTGAAAAGCTTTTCTTTTCATTTTGGCACCTTACAAATAGCATATGGAATTTTTTAGAGATGCCATATGATACTATCATATGGCATGGTAGTTTGTCTAAATTCATAGTGGCAAAGCAGAGAGTTCTTTAGACTCTCCCTCAAGTTCATTTTTGAGTCCTATAAGCAGGCATGGAATATATCTACTTGGCAAGCCGCAACTGAATTTTTGGAGCCGTGGTTTTATGGATTTGCCTGCCATGATTTCATTTCTTTGAGCCGTGAATTCCATATCTCAGCTAATAAAAGACATTTATGAGCTGACAGCTGCGAACTTTTTACTAAGTCCCCTGCACGTATTACCAAAAATAGCTAATTTTACCCTAAAAACAGTCAACACTAACATTTGTCTTCAATTGAGTTGCAACTGATCACGTGATAATGCAGTCTGATTACTCTGACATGACTGCAACTATGCTATCTATAAAGAAACGTTTTTGGTTGACATGTTGTTTTGTTTTGCAAGATATTTTGGTGGGATAGTTGAAAAAGTGCGGATTGCAGAGGTTGGAAATTTTATGAATAGACATTTGCAGAGTGCAAACCTCTATTTTTCAAGCTGACAAAAGTACATGACACTACAGCTGCAATATTTCAGAAAAAAATAGGACTTCTCCAGCCCTGCCTATAAGTAGACCAGTAAAGTATCCTAGAAACCAGCATTATCATACATAAGAAATTGGTTTATATCTTAGGTAAATGAGGAAATTAAAAATGACCTGATTCTAAAAAATCTCTGGTTTGTCACTATGAATTTTATTATTAGGACCAGGTAAAATTGGCCAGATTTACAGATAATTTTGTCTAATTAACAGGATGCATCTGCCTAATCTCTCCAGTCTCCACTTACTGACTTAGGTCATATACCTAATAAAGGTTACGAGTTAAGAACTGTAATATGTCCATTGTGCAGAGAGTGGATGAATATTGCAAGATCTTTTGCGACGCTTCAGTAGCAAAATTTATGCCTTCAGAAGATCTTGCCAACACATTTAGATTGAAATTCTTGCATTTAATATATTTGTCAGTTTTCGGCCAACTATTTAAAAAAAGTAAGGTTTCCGGTATGTTGGGCAGATCAGGATGCAGTAAATCTTGTCTGGAAATTGGTTGTGATGAGTTCCCGCTATGAAAATGTAAACAAAATGTAGTTGCGGTCACATAAGAGCGGTCAGACTGCATCATCACATGTTCAGTTGACACTTGCTGTACAATCGGACTGTTTTTATGGTAAAATTAGTTATTTGGGGTAACATGTGCATGCAACCTTATAAATGAGTTTGTGGCTCGTAAATAGTTTTTCATTACTCAGCGTAAATGGCTTTTCATTAAAAATTACCCAGCAACGCATCTTGAAAATGGTTGGTGACGCTTTGGGCTTGAAAACCCATACCGGCAACCGGGGCTACTCGGGACTGGCGGGGCTACTCGGGACGCACCTCTGACATGGCGTAAAACTGTTATAGTAGCAAAACTAATTGGAACATTGCAAAACTAAATATAGTGGCGTAAACATCAACATTTTTCCTATCTATGTAGTATAAAGGAAGGTAAAAAATCCTACATTTACTAGCTTTAAAAAATTCCTGAATAAAATGGTGAAAAACGCTATTTTGAAAAGTTACTTCTGCTAAGGTCTGTAGCAAAAAAAAATATTCACTGTATTAAAAAATTTTACTTACATAAAAGTTGCACCCAGGTGTCGGCTTGAAAACGGAAATTGACAGATTTTGCCTATCTCATTCCAAAAAAAAAATGGCGGCCATTTCCGCACGGCGGGGCTACTTGGGCCACCCCCCCGGGGCTATTCGGGACACCCCCACAAACAAATTTACAGTAGAACCGTAAAATGGGGTAACTTAGACCACTTTTTTTATAAATGATGCCATATTTTTACTAGCTAAATTAAACTTGAATTGAACATGCAAAATACGGGTCTATACTCTAGCTTCACTCACCATAAATTGCTGGCTCCTGTCTCTCATAGTCTTTATGTAATTTCAAAAAAAGTGATGGTCTTTGTTACCCCAGCTCTTGGGGTAACTTAGACCAGGTGGTAAAATCAATTATATTTTTTGGTAAAATAACTCCAAATAACTCCAGGTTTTGGTGCATTGTAGTAGAACTCTTCTAGTAAATATTGACTGGCTTGGAAATTAATTTAAAATTACCATATATAAGACTCTGTAGAGTCTGAAACATAAAGAAAAAACATAAATAGGCTGTCAAACATAAAATATGTTATATATGGTAGTTTTATATTAACTTCCAAGCCGGTCTATGTTACCCCGTCAGGGCTGACATTAGGTGGTCTAAGTTACCCCATTTGGGGGCGGCGCCCCCCATTTTCAAACTATGACACTTTCCTCAAGTTTGTCTTTTGCATATGTAACTAGAAGAGTTCTACTACAATGCATCAAAACCTGGAGTTATTTTACCTAAAAATAAAAAAATTGGAGGGGGTACTCTGACAGGCTTTGAATAATAGCTCTTTTTCATGGGTTACATTTTTAATTTTTTAACCTATTAGATATGCAAACTTTTTAAATCTTTCTATTGTGTTACGTAGCCTCAGTATTAGGCCTTTGATGGCCATTGACAAAATTTTTCTATGTTGAATCATTTTTGAGTTTTGGCGGTTTTTGTTAAAAAATGAAAAGTGGTCAAAGTTACCCCACCGGTCAAAGTAGGGTAAGCGTGGTATATTCCGACATCGCGGGTAATTCCGTCACCTCTCTAGTTTTTCCTTTATATTAAGCTTTGTTTTAGTTCCATGCGTTTGTTGATGGTTGAAATGGTGACGTCATACATTTGCGCATCAAAATACTGCCAAAACACTAGGTCTTGGCCATCTAGCGGAAAATATTGAGATCCAAAGAGAGACAATGCACGCTACCCAGTGAGATCATCGAAAAATGTGTCAAATTTGACAGTTGACCTTGCTCTACCAAATAGTGAATAACTGTTTGTATAAGAAGAATATTATGGTTTGAAACTTTTAAATACGTCTGTGAATATATTAGGAATCCTTTAAGTATACTTGTATTTGCTGATTTCAAGTGGTAAATAAATTAATAGATGATTGAGTTTAGAAATGGATTTAGACACATGAAATCTAATTCCGCCACAACTTGAATTGGACACACAGATTGTTCCAAGCTGTGTACAAAAATTAAAATTTGCTTAATTAAAAGCTTAATAGTTGTTAATTAAGAGCGTAATTAAGTAGTGTTCAATATTCATTAGTGTTCTAATTCAAAGCGGTGTTGTATTCCAATACAGCTCACACAGCAAACGGAATTCGAACACGTGGATGACGGCATTACATATCAGTAGAATTTGAAGCGCGGATGGAATACGCCTTACCACGTGCCAAATATAGCCACACACAGTGACGGAACATAGGGATTTGGTAGGTTTGCATTCTAAAGGCTTTTAAATAAATATGGCAACATTTTGTGACATTTTGTCATTGCTGATGCGTAGTGCGGTGCTTTGAGAGTCACATAAAGCAAACAGAACTTGAGTAACGCATACGGTTATTTTTTAACAGTTTTTCATTTCTTGATGCGTCCTTAATGTGACGGAATATACCGCGTTTACCCTAACCCCATTTTACGGTACCAGAAAAGCCAAAATCCAAAAAATTTAGGGATACCTCCCCCTTAACTATTTTGTGACCCTTCTTTACATAAGTTTTCTTTAAAAATTAGCCAGAAATTCATTATTTGCAGATGAGGGTTGCCTCAAACACTGAAATGACAGGCAAATTCAGGATGGAATTCTAATTTCAGAGGTTCATATATTATTTCGATCCACCAAGACCACTTCTTCTATCCAACATCGTTATTTGAGGCAAAAATGAACTTCTTAAAGGCTTAAAACACGCACGCTAACTTGCTCAGTTTCTATAAAGTACCTAATCACTTGGAAGTTGTAAACCTGCACCTATCACTCAACAATTAAAATTAGACTTATAAAAAAGTATTAGTTAGTTGAAAATTTATCTCTTAAGTTGACCGCAATGAACTAAACTTCATTAAGTAATCATTAGGCAGAGTTTTTCATCATGCACACTAAACACGCAATTCAGAGTTCAGACGAGACGAACTTCATAACACGAGAGCTAACGTGCTACTGGATTGAATTGCTTCTTTCCCGCTAACGCTGATCTAAGAACGTATTCATTGCAAAAATGTGTCCGCAAGCCTACAGATAAACGACTAGTTAACTTGATTAGTCGTTGGCAACACGGGATTGGATTTCAAACCCCGCACGATTTCGGAAGCACGCTACGTAGTTTCCAATGAGCTCAGTTTATAAATTTTCATTGCAGTGGAAGGTGGTGTAACGCGGTGGTAGGGTTGGTATTTCGATACGTTTTCTTAAATTGACATGAGAATATATTACCTATACAGAATTCCACACTGCGAGGCAATGATTGCACCTACTAACATATTTTCTTGTGAAATTGAATTCAGTGCAATTAGAATGCATGCCATGGGCTGGTCCTTTCTTACCCCATGAAGGCTGCAATCCTGTCTTACTCCATTTGAGTGATTTGACTAGGTATTACATGTGGTTGTGGATGTGATCATTACTCCTTGACAAGTTGACCTTAGCACTTTAATTTCAATAATCATCCCTCTTGAATTTCAATCTACAATGTAGGCAGTGGTAAATGTGCAAAACACCAATTAACGAACGTAATCAAACAAATGTATATACCTACCTGAAGAGGGTCTTCAAGGACGTCAGAACACACAGGACACAGCAATTCCTCGTCCACTTCTCCTTCAAAACGAATTCTGTCTAGTCCCATTTTCTCAAGTCTGACGAGTTTCCTCTAGTCAAATTTTTGGAAAATTTACAATAATACCACAAAATCTCATTGAATCGATACCCTTTTAAATTTACAGGATCACGATCCACGAATGACGGTGCAAGTGGAAGATGTTAGTCATAGAAGGCAACTGCGAGGTCACCCGATCACATTCGCGGAAAATGATGAAACGAACGCACAATCCGTTTTATTTTTCGGAACCGCTAGTGAAATGGCCTCACTGCTTTCAGGTTCACACCCCACAGACCGAGAGCAACACTGTAACAGCTTGAATGTCTGCTTTCCAACAACTTTTGCGTGGCGGTTACGGTTTTAAGTGCGCGTTCTTAGTGCGTAATCTAAAGAAAAACTATCAATATATTTCAAGCGTTTCATTGTATTAGTTGATCGTGACCTCTGTAAAGAAATTTTGCGTTCGGTTATTCCATCATGATCATTTATTAAGGTTGCATAAGAGCCAAAATTGTAATCGATTCTGACAGATAAATTAATCCAAATATTTTCTGTATGTTTACAGTCTCAAAAAATGTATAAAAAAATATTAAATAGCTTAATGTATATATAGATTTGTCAAAGATTCTAGAAATAATTGCAATTAGTGAATTACACAACCGAAATCGTACCTTATCTGTTACTTTTAAGCAAATTATCAACATTGTTCATTTTCCAATTCGACACGTGTGCGAGAGCGTTAGCGTGGGCTAGGTACTCCTTATGATATCTTGGTTTGGACAATAATTATGACTCGAAATATCCACATGCAAGGCTTACTACGCTATGTCTAGGATTTTATTTGCCCTTTTACTTCTTCCCGTTTTCTATTTAAACGGTAAAATTGGTGAATTCAGCCGCTTAGGCACGCTTCTTTCCCTCAATTCGTAACCAATAATTATGAAGTTAAATACACAGTTTTCAATATTCATTCTAATGTGGTGAGGATATTTTAAGTTTTTTTTATAGAATTTTGTCTAATCAAGTTTTCAATTAGGCTCGGTTAGGTTATGTTAGTTTCCATTTTTTTACAGTTATAATTGAAAACGGGAGCTTGTAAAATATAAAAACATCCCCGCCACTGCGCACTAAAACTGCAAATTTTTATCTGTGGCGTGCCGCATCGAGATGGCGTAAGCAGTGTGCCCTCCCTGAGCGCACCCACGCTAATGCGCACGCACGTTTGTCGCATTTTTGTCTGACCAGTGTACCAGTGTCTGACCAGTGAACCAGTGTCTGACCAGTGAACCAGTGTCTGNCCAGTGTACCGGTGTCTGACCAGTGTACCAGTGTCCGGCCATTGTACCAGTATCCGGCCAGTGTACCAGTGTCCGGCCAGTGTACCAGTGTACCAGTGTACAATTAACGAGCTCAGAATTTCTCACCGTCTTCCGTCCGTCATGTCTTATGATTTGACTTGACATTTAATGCTTGAATTATTAAGTTTAACCATGATTTCGCATTCACACCTATAAATCGTCAATCATTTGTCATATATCATCTATACCCAGCATCCTCCTAAGTAGAATAAAATAATATTTAAATATAGGTGTAAAAACGACATTAAAATTTATCTATATTTTTTGCAAAAGAAATTGAAAAATATTTTCCATTACTTAACATATCTTGATTCTAGATAGTGGTTAATGAAATTCAAATTAACAGTATTCTTTTATATACTGTATATCCTTTTTCGATATGACGATGATGTAAACGTCAAGTTAAACTGACGTCACGATTTTGACACCTGTTTCATGCTCTAACTTGTGGAGTTTAAGGGAACACCTGAGCCACTCTGAACATTGGCTGACCGAACACTTGTTGCGTGTCAGTGTATCAGCTGCTTGAGCTGGAACGTTGGTGGCATACGCTGCTTCTCGTGCTAAAACTATACATTTCATATTGCTATTATCGCCTTATATGGATAATCGGATTATTAAGTTTACACTATAGATATCTTTGAGTGTGCGTCAACTCCCGAGCTGATTTGGTCAAGAGATAAGGCTTATCTTGATGGTGACAGTGACAGGTGACAGCTAGTGCCTCTCGGAAGCTGCACGGCGCAGAAGGTGGTGGTGTTGGGAGTGCCTTTCGCGTGGTGGCTCTCGAGAAGCGTGCATTGACGTGCGTTGCTATTGTTTTTTATGTAGTGAACATAACATCTTATGAGAGGTTGTGCTTAGAAACCCTTATATGCATCATATCATGTGAAAATACTAATGTCATATGACATAATTTGAACATTTTTGAATGCAGAATTAGTTGACAAGTTAAAAAAATTGTCCCTGCATTCCTGTAAGATTAGACATCGTCATTGACGATACGAATCCACATAATTATTATATTATTGTGTTTTCACAGAGAAATATAATACATAAGTTCCGCAATGGCCTTCCAGTCAAGCAAAAATTATAATATCACAATCATTATTTTAGCAGCAATAGTCGGACAAGCTTTAGTGCACGGAAAGGAATACACGACATCCGTCAAAAATAGCAAGAACAGCGGTGAAGTTCAGGAGAAAACAGCCGCATCAAGTTCACAGAAGGAAAGTGAAGAAAATGCACGGCTTATTGAAGAACAGTTACGTTCTATTTTTCAAGCTGAACAGCCATACATAAAAGACGATGAATTACACGTCGTGAAGGAGAACTTGGCCTTTCTGAAGGACGTGTTGGAGGAGGCGCGAGAAACTGAGCAGGCAGTTCAACCTGCTGTTACGGGCAGTCAACGGTCTGGGTTGTACAAGAAAGATTTGCAGCAATTTTATTCTCCTGTCAATTCCAAACATGTGGCTGGTGAAAATAGTTACGGTACTAACGAGGAAGATCTGGTCGTCGAAAATTTCCCCGCTCCAGTCGACGGCAGGTAAGCTGGCAGTAAAAATGATCATAATACCAAGTTAATATGAGTACTATCGGCTTTGCTCATCAGCCTCTCTGCTCATTCGGAATAGCTACTATTTAAACAAGTAGAATAGGCCTTCCAGTCAATAAACAGGTAAATGTCCATTCAATAAATAATGAAATGATTTTAATCTTCCACTGCACAAGTAATGTCTCAAATTAACTCTGCAAATTATAAATGTTTTTATACTGAAAACATTTTTGAAACGCTCAACACACTTGAATTATTAGCCCTACAATCAAATCATTAATACATTATCCCCATGCGTGCTTGTCCTTTCTTGTATTCTTGATTATCTCTTTTCGTATTTAATTACAAAAAGCACATCTAATGAACATACGAGACTGATGTAGGTAAAGCTATATACAACCAATGAATAAAACGAGCTTAATTCTAATTAGGAGGTCATTTTGCAAAATTCGATGTAAGGGAATTAAAAAGATTTTTCAATGACAACAAATCCACGATATTGGGCGCAGATTTGCCTTCAATGTCAAAACCTGAACAGTTATAAGGCAATTTGTGGCTCGGAGAATCACATTCATTATGTATTATATTTATTATATTATATTTATTTGTGACTCCAATTTATTATATTTATTTGTGACTCCAAGAGTCACATATATTATATATTATATTTATTATATTATACATATATGTGACTCCATTTATTGAACAATTAAACGGAGTAAACTGTCGTATAATTTATCTGGTTCAATTTTCACTATTTTAACATTCGAAGGCTGTATTTGCCTGAATAACTTTTGATTAAATGCTTCGTATTTGAGTCGAATTTTTTATTATTATTTATTATTAGTTATTACTATCAATAATTGAATTTATTAGAAATCTTGATCCATATATTTGGTGATTAGTTTTAGGATCAATTAAACCTGTTCTGATAAACTAAAATCTTCTGAAACTGTGGTGTCATTAAGCCTATTAAAAGGGCGATTCAGGCCTTTTTTAAAGAATTTTATGTTCCTTTTTTGTAATTTAGCATATTATTATTTGTGAGGAAGAATACGGAGAACTTCAAGACAATACAGCCTGAATATATTGTTAATGCTGTATACATACAGTAATTCCGGGGTTTATTTTTTTGCTGTCCTAAAGATCTTGCTAACTTTTTGTTAAATTAATCGTTCGTTGTTAAATTAAACATTCGTTGTTAAATTAAACGTTAAATTAAACGTTCATCCCCAGGGGCTTAGACACCTTGCAGTCCGTAAACCCTGTTCAGGATATCGCTGAGGAAGTTGGTTGCCATTTCCACCGGGTTTATTCAGTTCAACATTTAATTCTAACATTTACTATCGATGAATTACTTCACAGTTTACTCCGTTTAATTGCTCAATAAATGTGACTCTTGAAGTCACAAATATATATAATATATCATATTCTACTAGTATAAATTGTCAAATATCTTATTTGTAATGAAGGTACGGGTATCTGAACGAGTGGGTGGTGCATCTCGAGGGCGGGCCGGAGCTCGCCGCGCAGGTCCTCCAGGATCTTGGCTACCACACGCACGGGCTGGTAAAGCGCCTCAGTTAGGGAGTGAAGGAAATAATATACGGTTAAAAATTACTTTTAAAGACAAAACTTCTAAAAAATCCAGTGTCTCCAATGTAAAACATGTACAATGAATTTCTAATTGCAATTTCGGATATTAAAAAAATATTTTTTTAAGCATTTTAATACAAAAAAAAAGAAATTAAATTTTTAAAATTATTTATTCTGTCAATTGATTCATGCATTGTCTCCAACTTTACGCAAGTGTGCAAAATTTCAGATCGATTGGAGAGGTTAAAGTGTGTTAAATATCGATTATAAGATTTGTAGCAGACAGACAGACAAACAACAAGAAGTGAAGTTAAAGAGAAGTGTTTTAATAATAAAATGGTAGTAAATTTGACGCAATGCTATTGTTTGACGCAATGCTACCATTTGACGCAGTGCTACCATTTGACGCAGTGCTACCATTTGACGCAGTGCTACCATTTGACGCAAGCATATATTATAAGTTAATGACAGGTTAAATAGATTATTCCTGTTGTAGGCACTATTTATGTTACCAGCTCTTTTCACGAAGATGAAATATGTGCTTCGTTCATATTCTCATCAAGACTGTTCAAACCGGAGGCATTTAAAAAAATTTTAATTGCCTACCAATAATAATGAAAGAATGGAAAAAAAGACTCCTGCAATTAATGCAAATGCATTAATTGCTACCGGAATTTACGAAAAGAAAATAATTTGATGAGTTTTCAGAAGTAATTGTTTCGCAGGTCCGGGGCTTCAAAGACCTCTACAGAGTGGCCCGCAACGGCCACCCTCGCCTGCACAAGCGAGAGGCCGAGGAGCTCACGTGGCAGCTGCAGAGCCACAGCCAGGTGACCCAGCTTAGCTTAGCACTTGCACCTCAGGCATAATTTATTTATTATTTTATTCTTATATAGATTATTTTCATCTAATATTAACATATTGAATGTAACATCTATTTTTTAAACGAGTTTAAAGTTAGTGGCTACAACATGGCTAATTAGCTACTTTAGTTTTAAAATTAGCTCGATAAGTCAAACGTGTTTTACTACTTCATTTTACAGGGCAATTAATTTGCGTTTCGAGCATTATGAGTGTTTTGGGATATTTTAAATGGAAATAATGTACACGTTCATCCCTGATTATTCATAATAGTAGAAGGGATAATTTTGGGATATTTTAAATGGAAATAATGTTCACGTTAATCCCTGATTATTTCTTATAATAAAACATGGAAGTTAGGATATGAACCTATCGGCCGACGAAATTCAATTCCTTCAGATAATTTTTGAGATAATAATATATTATAATTGCTGGCGTATTCCAGGTTGTTTGGGCGGAGCAGCAGCAATCGAAGATAAGGGAGAAGAAGAGTTACTTGGACTTCATGGACCCCGACAGCGATCGTCCACTACGACGGGTGAAGAGGCGCGTCGCGGATGGAAACAACGTTCATTTTATGAATGAAATCGCGTCGCTTGAGAGGACGCTTCTAGAATACCCTGAAAAGGTACATTATCCTGCCCCGAGTCGTGCAGATCAAGAAGATGGCAGAGAGAAGAAGCAGCTGCTGGAGCGTATCGCTCGCTTCCCATCCACGAGCCGATCAAAGAACATGAGAGGAGAGTTGTCCGATGTTTTCAACGACGAGCTTGTTGAGAACCAATGGTATTTGGTGAGTACAATATTGAAATATTTGTTTTCATTTATACCTTTGATTTTTATTTTAGATGAAGCCACACATGTGGGCTTCACTTGGCGGCAACGAATGAAGGAAATCGTTTCCGAAACATATTTATCTTAAGCAATATATTTTATATGTACTTCTTTTACATTTATTGAGTAGCAAATGGACAACCATTCGGTAGTAGCATAATTTTTAGGATTACAAATTGTGTACTATTATGGTACACCTAAGCGAGATGTAGTGAACATGATAAGGCATTGTGCGATACAATTCAACGATTGTCTTGGGAAAAGCTAGTTGGAAGGCCATGCATTGCTACGATCTCACATCAGTCGCTGGTGAAGCATTCCATTTTTACCGCATTTTCTCATTTATAGAAAAAATGCACTATTGGGCTCGCCATGTCCGTCCGTCCGTCTGTCCGTCTGTCTGTCTGTCCGTCCGTGACTTCACGTTTTCGTCGACGAGAAAATGCGCTCTCTGTCACTCACTGCAGGGAGTACTGAGCTATATTTATTATGAGCTCAATCCCATTTATACACCATTCTATCACTCATTATATTTTCCCCATACACATGACTGATTCGGCAATGAATATCAATTAATTTGTGGCCTTGTGCACTCACTTCGTAATTGGCAGTGTTCTCATAAGGAGAGACATTTTAAAAATGACGTAAACAGAGGGATGCTCAAACGTATGGTTCCGTAATGGCATCTGTGGCTTCACAACAAATTTAGCTACACGTGTGCACACGCGCTAAACAGTATGCACCCAGCGATGCTGTGGCGTAATTTGAAAACGGCCCTTCATTACTCTGAAACACGCCTCATATTCTATTGCTACTGAACGATTCGTATAGGGCAACATGGGGCAGCGCGCCCTCCGTTTTTTAAACTCAATTTTTGATGAAGTTTTAATCGATACGAGGTGGTTCTTTGCTTTGTTTAAATGTACAACTAATGAGGAATGTATGATGTGAATTAGACGCCTATAGAGTCATTCAATTTTAATTGAAACACTATTTTGTAAAAAGTGTCAAAATGGGCCCATTGCCCCACCCCTGGGGCAATGGGCCCATGGGCTTGGGGCAAGGCACCCACCCTTCGTCCCTTTACCACAATTGCATATTTTTCGTTCACAAATGATAAAACAACACTTTACAGTTAAAAATAAGAAAATTGCAATAAAAAATATGACATTCATTCATTTATTACCAAATCAAAAAATCATATCCTTAACTTGAAAAAAATATACTCCTTGCTTAAAAAATCTATCACTGACGTGAAGAAAAATATTTCATTGACATTAAAATATATATCATTGACTTGAAAAATATATCCTTGCGATAAGAAAATCGTCCTTGACATGAAAAAATGTATCCTTGACTAGAAAAAATATATTTACTTGATCAGAAAAAACTTCGTTCCAGTTTCGTCCATAATCCAGATATTATGTGCAGAGAATTCGTACCTAATCGTGATTTCAGCCAACACCGTAAGAACTCATCAACTTTTGGCTCATTGGTGTTGACTGAAATCAACTTTTGGAAGGCAAGAGTCAATAACTCGATAAGGGGTCATAAATACGCATAACTGGAAACTAAACCTGCTGCATTGAGGCGGCAAATCAAAAATCAGGCAATATGAAGTGTAATTTGTAATTCAAAAAGCTGGTCATAGTTTTGAAAAGGTCGTTGAGACAAATCTAATGATGTATAACACAACACTTCACCATGGGCGCTTTGCCCCGTGACACGCGTGGGCCCGTTGCCCCACCAAGCATAATTTCAATTTATATCGTGTCAACATTTTATTTTAAAAGCTAATAGTCTAAACTTGATCTCTAAATTATTCTTATAAATATTACTTTCAAAATATAATTCAAAATAATTTCAAAAGCTCCATCTACAGTAATTGAAAACAGTTTTATTTAGCAGTAAAAAAAGCTTTTATCTGGGCTAAAACAGTTATTCACAAATAACTCAACATCGCAAACTCTTAGCAAAACGTAAATCCGTACACTTCGTCCCAGTGAAACTGTCGACCGGCGGTAGAGAACACGGGCCAATATCTGCCATACTTAGCGGGAAACCCGCTATGGGCCCATGACCCGCAGTGGGCTCGCTGCCCCATGTTACTCTATCCATCAAGCGCGTTGCATCTTTCTCAACGCTTTGCACGTTTAGTCCAATTTATATCAAATATTTCACATTTCTTTTAAATGTTTCGTATTTCTATTAAAAGTTCGCCCATATATTAAATGCTTCGTATTTATATTAAAACCTTCGTATATTATCAGGTGCTCCCAATTTCTATAAAACGCTTTAACTTTCTGACAACTGCTTTGCATATTAATCGAACTCTTTGTATTTCTGCCATTCGGTTCTATTCCACTACTGTTAAACGCCCTGCGTTTTACTTACAACCCAATATGCGCGACACGAGTTGGATGTTTATAAAACGATCTCGTTCTTAGTCTGGAAAATCCTCGTTGGTCTAATGGCTTCTTATTCCAAACAGACATCACATCTATAAATTAATCAGAATAACTGAAGATGCTAATTCATTTTGCTCGTGACACAGACGCTTCAGAGCGGGAATATTTAATCAAGTCGTTTCGACTTTGATTGATAATGCTTCTCACTTCGTTGAATTAGAGTGAGTGTTTTTAAGCTATATTGTCTGTGTTGGAAATGTCCATCAAAACCTCCAAATGCTTGTAACAAATCAACGGTTAACGTAACCCTAAAAACGTCAGTACGACTCGAGGGTGAAGGCGTCCTTGCCGCGCCTGGACCTGGGGGTGGTCGAGGCCTGGCAGCGGGGCTTTACCGGAGAGGGGGTGAGGGTCATGATCCTGGATGACGGCCTTGACCACCAGCACCAGGACCTGCGGGACAACTACGTGAGTACCTGCACCAGCACCAGGACCTGCGGGACAACTACGTGAGTAGCTGCACCAGCACCAGCACCAGGACCTGCGGGACAACTACGTGAGTACCTGCACCAGCACCAGGAACTGCGGGACAACTATAGACGTGAGTGAAACGCCCGCACTCACCTGTCCTGGGCTACTGAGTGGGACACTTCAGTGTTTCTAAGCCTAAGCTTCATTATATGCTTCATCTTCAATAATGAAGATAATATACTGTAAAATAATTTATTCATTCTCTTGGTTTAGAAAGGAGGCTCTGCATGTAATGCAGACAAAAGATAAACCTTCATTGCTTGCCGTTTTAATCCGCTGAACAGAAAAGGGATAATGTTCAATTGTAAAAATTTAACAATTAAACTATTGTTAAACTTTAACCTTCTTTCGGCCTTTTTTTAAAAATTTTAAATCAAAATTATTCGCAATTTTCCTGTCTGAATAAATATGTATTATATATGCTTCACAACTTCATCAGTTCCACGGTATTCGCGAATATCTCAAATTTATCAACGGCGTTTCAGGACCCGACCATCAGCTACGACTTCAACGACGACGATGCAGACCCGTACCCGCGGTTCGCCGCCGACGTGGTCAACTCGCACGGCACCAAGTGTGCCGGCGAGGTCGCCATGGCAGCCAACAACGCCAAGTGTGGCGTGGGAGTGGCATTCAGGGCGAGGATAGGAGGTAAAGTGAACTAAATAATACAAATAGCTGATCAAACACACTAGTCGTTTGGTAATGATTCGTCCTGACGATTACAGATAAATTTGTTTCGTTCACCTAGTACATTACCTAGGCAGGGTGGCCCAGTGGTTACAGTTCAGAGTACCAAGATTGGCGCAGAGAGGCGCGGGTTCGACCCCAGCTCTGTGCGCCAGTTTCTGGTCAGAATCGGCGAGGAGGCCGGGCGGTTAAGCACAGCAGAATTATTGTGGCAGTGAGTTGCGAGTTCGAGACCGCAAACTGCTGTGAATGTTCTGCGATGTTAAAATCGGTGACAAGCCTATGGCCTACTAAACCCTGAAACCGCTATTAGTAAAGCTATAGTAGAAGCCGCTGCATAAAAAATGATAATCTCAGCATGACGCAGTGACTCATCATGCGTGCCCAGGCATCCGCATGCTGGACGGTCACATCAGTGATCGCGTGGAGGGCGAGTCGCTGTCATTCGCCCGTGACGCCGTGGACGTCGTGTCGTGCTCATGGGGGCCCTCCGACGACGGCCTCACCGTCGAGGGGCCCGGCAGGCTGGCCACCGCAGCCTTAATGAAAGGAGTACAAGAAGTAATGCACATTAAATAAAAATTGTCATTTTGAACGAGCACAAAGATTATTCGGCTCCAACAATCCTTTATCCCGCAGTCACAAAGATCAGCAAATATTTACTTTGCCAACCGCTGTCTACATCAAGATTTTTTAATTTGACAATAGACGATATTCTATTATCTCGAAGCCATCAAGCATATAGCTGAAATACCGTACATAAATAAAGTCCATACTAATAAACCAACCCCCGCAATATCGCAGGACACTTTCCAAGTTATGTTCCTTAATGCAGGGGCGCGGGGGCAAAGGAACCATCTTCATTTGGGCGAGCGGCAACGGCGGCATGACGGACGACAACTGCAACGCTGACGGCTACGCCAGCAGCGTCTACACGGCCGCCGTAACGAGCGCCTCCCAGAGCAACAAGTTCCCCTGGTACGGCGAACGCTGCGCCTCCACCCTCACCTCCGTATACTCATCAGGGGCCTACATGGACCAGAAGATCGTGAGTTCTACTTCATGTACAAGTTTATGTCAGGAAAATAGTCATTTTAAAATAGACACATGTCAAATTTTGCTTCTGGCACATATTTCTGTCAATTGCATTCAATCGGCAACAGGCCATGGGCCTATTTCTTCAGTGCCGACACTTCTATTCTATTCTTCTATTCTAATTGAAATAATTGAAAAAATTGATTCTCTACTCAATAATTCAATGCTTCAATTGGTTCCGTTATTTGAAATACACTTTTATTCTTATCCGCAAACATTTGTGACAATTAGAAGCAAGTTGTTCAGAGTTCAAGCATTTTCTGGCACAAATTGAGGAAATCGGATTTTAAACGTTTAAGTTTAGAGATTGGCTTTTGAAATTAATGATAGTAACATTTATTTCGTTGCTGAAACTTGTGCACACAATCAGAAGTTCTATGATAATAATTTGTCAACGTGATTGTATGGGACGATATTGTTGCAGATATCGACGGATTTGAACAACACTTGCACCACGACGTTCTCCGGCACCTCGGCCGCGGCACCTCTGGCGGCCGGTATAGTGGCCCTCGCTCTGGAGGCGAAGTAAATACAATATTAGTTTACTTACTATTAACTTACATAATAATTTAATGGCCGTAGATACGATAATACGGGTATTCGAAGAGAGCATGCGCCCAGTTCGAGGTCATCATGAATGAAACATAAAACGTGCTCTTGATTCGCTTGATGATTTGAATCTTTCCATTAGAGCGGAATAATGTTTTCGACTCCAGTCAAAACAGGCCTTTATCGATTGATGCGGGCCATGTCCAATTCTCAGCACTGACTACCAACTTCACTGACCAATTCGGTGAAAATCGCTGCCTTTGAAAAACCAATCAACGTCTATCATGTACGGCTGGGCGGCTAAAACATATATTGCATCAGCTGAACGCATTTTATATCAACTGCTAGGCATTTGCTCATTTCCTTTTAGACGAATTCACTACAAGAATTCGTTTTCAGAGTTCTGTGCTAATCTGCGCTCTATTGGAAAATTATAATATAATTTTAATCAATATTATACTATTAAATAAATGTAATTATGACAATTGAATTAATTAGGTGTGACACCAGTGGGATGTCTCTAACATGAACAGAATTAAATGTCGGTGACTTGTTCTGCCGCAAAGAATTCTTGATACGAATATTACTATTCTCATGACACTTTGCTTGCTGCCTTTAGTAATTTTCAAGCAGGAGAATTTAATAGAATTTAATATCAAATAAAATGATGAGAAAATTTAATGAGATGATTGAGCGCTATCTTCGTTAACAAATCCTTAGTTAGTTTAAAATTATGTTATTAAAAGTTGATTTGTCATAAACTTCTTCACTGACGAACAGACTGACTTCATGCTAACCCCGAACTGATGCAAATCTCCGGATTGCACTCATTAATAAGTTAAAATACTTAAATTCTCATAATTTTATTGCAGTAGTTGGTTTCTGCGAAAAAAAACAATCTCTTGATTCTGAAATTACTCTCAAACCATCCATTTTAATACTTAATAAATGATGGCTGTTAACAAACTTATTCAAAGTTTGAAATCTTGCTTCAAAGGAATTTCAGATAGAAACAGACACAGGAAATAAATTTAATGTAATTAATTTGGCACATTATTTTTTGCAGTGGAAATTTGACGTGGCGAGACGTGCAGCACCTGACGGTGCTAAGCAGCAACTACGACACCCTGAGCGACAACGAAGGATGGCAGCAAAACGCGCTGGGTTTCTTCTTCAACTTGCGCTTTGGCTTCGGCTTGTTGGACGCGGAGAAGATGGTTACATACGCGCTCAACTGGACCACTGTGCCTGAGAAAGTAGTGCGCTCTGTTAATGCCACCCAGCAGCTGTGAGTGATTCTTCTTACAAATATCTCATCGTATTATAGGAGGATCACTTAAGAAAATTAGGAAAATTGATTTCAAATGCCAAGTATGCAAGGTTATGGGCATTTATGATAGCTTCTGGTAATGTAAAGCAGGAAGGGATTTAACGTTACAAACAGTCAAACAAGAACCGTAGAAATGCTGAAAATTTCTGAAAATTTTTCCTGCGACCGTCGGTTGATCTCACAATCATCACATAGAACAAACATCCCATAAGTGCATGATAGGAAAAATCTTCCAAGGGTCCTGCCTCTGCTTCATCTAATCATTGCTTGTTTGCTTGTTTAGGAGACGGTTTCTATTTTTGGATGTTTGGAGAAAAAATCGACTACGAATTTTATTTACAGCTTTGATTGACAGTGAAATTTTACATAGATGAAAAAATGACGAAAATAAAATATGTATATGAAAAGATATGACCATGAAACAAATAATATGAAAATTGTAACAGATTGAATGATACTCTACTATTGTTGACACGATATGCAATAGAACAAATATGTGGAGCTCTTATAGTGCATGGCACCTTCGAATGAAGACTTTGAATTCGAAAAATATTTTTACGTTAACATGATACATAGAATACGAAACATTGCGTGTACTCAATTACCGAATTCCTGCAATAGATTTTTGGGAAATTATTCCGCATCTCCAATATGTCATTTCTTCTCAAATTCAACCTACACTTAGGAAAAGTATTGAGACCTCTGCCCATGCACTTTTGCCCATATCTGGCTCATTTTTATTCTGGAAAAGATCGTATCAGTGCTACACGCTGCTAGTATGTCACTATTTAGGAAATTTGACCCATATATTTTTGTAAGAGTAGGCGAAGTCCGTGGCCGCTGCCACTGAGTGCGGCCACTGAGGCGCGTCTGGAGTTCGAGGTGACGGACGACGCGATGGACGGCGGCGTCTTCCTGGAGCACGTGGAGGCCGTGGTGACCATCAGCGCGCCCGTCAGGGGCGCCCTCAACATACAGCTCCAGAGCCCCCGAGGTACTAACTCAACTTATTCCTTATTACACATTGCATTTTTGATACATATAGGTAATTTTGAAGTAATATAGGTAATTTTCGTAGGTAATTTTGGATCGTAATTTTATTTTGTTAAATGAACATAAAATGCTTAATTGAAAATACGAAAGCTCAGCAGACAAATTACCCTTAATCAAAAATATGTCATTAAAATGATCTCATCAGATTTGACTGTTTTTTGGTACATAAGAAACCACAGTAAGATTCATCTGAGCTCATTAATTACTTCAAATTATCGCTGTCTAATATTTCAATCTCAGCTTGAAAGATACGTTTAGCAACTAAACTTCCAGATTAAAAACCTCCAATAAGACTCGTTGCTCCTGCCTTTACTTCAAATTTATGTGGATATTTGTTACTTATTATGAATATATTCTTAAACCTGGAGAAAATGTCGTGTGTACCTAGATTATTTTAATTTGATTTGATACTGAAGATTACAGGAAGAGAGTTGCCTTCATCGTGACCTTGAATCGTTATCATCAATAATTTTCGTGTGCACCTCGGTTCTTCCACATTCTAAAGTATTGCATCAACTTACGTCACTTATCATAATAAAATTCAGTTACATCAAGTAATTCCTTGCTTCTTTGTTCAAGTAATTCTTTGGAGTCGTGTGTAACACTGACTCCTTCAAAATACGTTTCCAGTTCAAGTTCGTTCGAGTATCATGCTGATTTTTGGCTTGCTGTCAAGTACGTTCTGTATGAGCTCGCACACGGAACGTTTTTAGTCTGAGTAGTCGTGCGGTAAACAGGTTCTCTGCTCTTCGTATCGGCGCTGAACTGGTGAAGACAATTATTGACCTCGCCGGGTTGCTTTTAAAGGGAATTTATTAGTTAACAATTATGAACCTTAATTCTCGTATTTAACAAATTTATTGATTCTCTTACTGGTCTCATTTGTTCATGCCGCGCATGGTATTGATGCATGATATTGATGTATGGTATCGATGCATGGTATCAATGCATGGTATGGATGCATGGTATTGATGCATGGTATTGATGCATGGTATTGATACATGGTATTGATGCATGGTATTGATGCATGGTATTGATGCATGGTATTGATGCGTGGTATTGATGCATGGTATTGATGCATGGTATTGATGCATGGTATTGATTGGTGTATAGGGTTTGCTAACAATGTATAGTTACGATGGTTCGATCAGTTTCAATACAAGATAAAAAACGTGATATTTCGCATTTGCCTTATTACAACCATGGAGAATAGCGATGAATTCTCCATTAAATTTATTAATTAATTTGGATCGTGGAAATTGTTTGAGCGTCTGAATGATGTTATAAATATTGTGATAAATGCGTCGTCCACGCAAGAAGATTAACTTAAATATGTTTAATATTAATTTATTCAATTACATGGATCGTTAGGCTCCCATATTCATTTCCGATAATTTCAGTTTTTGTGGTCGTTTCCTAAGGGCGAGAAGAGGTTTGGCAAAAACCACCATGTCTCGGAACCCTATAATGATAAAAGGGAATAAAATTATATGATGTTCGTATTTCAAAATGATACACGTATCTCAACTGATATGCGTATTTCAAATGATATACGTATTTCAAATGATACACGCATCTCTAATGATATACGTATTTCAAATGATATACGTATCTCAAATGATATACGTATCTCAAATGATATACGTATCTCAAATGATATACGTATCTCAAATGATACACGCATCTCAAAGTATCTTAAATATGTAGTGACTTTAGGTCTGTCTCTTATACACATCTAGATATCTCAAATGATACACGCATCTCAAATGATATACGTATCTCAAATGATATACGTATCTCAAATGATATACGTATCTCAAATGATATACGTATCTTAAATATGTAGTGACTTTAGGTTACTCACTGGAGACGTGAAGCTGCTTCATTCTACCAGAATGATCAGGAAAGTCAAGACGTCCGTTTAACCTTACATTTTATATAGCGACTGCCTGACCTGTAAGAAATTTTAACAACAGGCTCTAGCTCGAGCATCGCCAAACGTTTTATTAAGCTTAACCGGGAAGAACTGACTAACCAAAGTCAGCTATGTCATGTTTCAAGTTATTGATATCAAATAATTTTACTTCTATTGATGTCGGACTGACAACATCGCTGATACAGTTGATGGCCGGAGCTACGTTTCTATCTTAATGTTCCTGAATTTTTTTAATGTTCCAAAAAACTGCGCAAATAATTGAATTATTATTAAATTACTGGCACATCAAATTAAATTGATTTATTATTATTCTAACATGCCAGTTCATTGAATTTTTTAATACTAACCAGCTTACTCTCTAGCCTAAAATTTAATCACTCATTTTTTTAGCTAAGACGAGATGAGATGCGGTAAAGAATAAGCATTTGCCTTATCATATATCGCAAGGTGAGCCTACGCCTGGCATAATGTATTTGCTCTGAGTCGATTAAGATTCTTCTCTCGTGAGATATCGCCAGTTTTCCAAGTTATTCAATTTATACCTTCCAATTGCTACGAGAAAGATTGCCAGAACATCAGTTCGAATTTGAACCGTCCCTCTACCTATGTTTCGTTGCACATGCATTCATCCCCGGCGACTCTATTGCTGGTTTAATGCTGGTCTAATGCTGGTCTAATGCTGGTCTAATGCTGGTCTAATGCTGTCTCTTATACACATCTAGATGTGTATAAGAGACAGGTCTAATGCTGGTCTAATGCTGGTCTAATGCTGGTCTAATGCTGGTCTAATGCTGGTCTAATGCTGGTCTAATGCTGGTCTAATGCTGGTCTAATGCTGGTCTAATGCTGATCTATTGCTGGTTTAATGCTGGTCTAATGCTGGTCTAATGCTGGTCTAATGCTGGTCTAATGCTGGTCACATCTTGCCGCCACCAGGCACGAGGACGACGCTCCTGACACCCCGCGACAAGGACACGTCCAGCGCAGGCTTCCTGTCGTGGCCCTTCATGTCTGTCCACACGTGGGGGGAGGACCCCCGGGGCACCTGGGTACTAACCATCGTTGATAACGTGAGTCTTGAATTGTTTCTAACTATGTTTATATTCATTGCTTGGATCGTATTTTTCATGGGTCTTTAACAACTACTTTTTTATTTTTTTGGGCTCAACGATCACAATAAGTGTCCTATACCTATGTGTTGTCCTATACATATGGGTTGTCCTTTACTTATGGGTTGCCCTATACTTATGGGTTGTCCTTTACTTATGGGTTGCCCTATACCTATGGGTTGTCCTATACCTATGGGTTGTCCTATACTTATTGGTTGTCTACGTATGGGTTGTCTTATGCGTACTTGTGTGTTGTCCAATACTTATGGGTTGTCCTATACTTATGTGCTTTCCTATACTAATGGGTTGTCTTATACTTATTGGTTAAAATATTAAGAATATTTCAATAAGTTCAGAAGTTTATAAGTGCGTCCAGCCGCAGAACTCGCGTATCTCGGTGATCCACGAGGAAGCATTGCCATCAAGGCCCCTGTTTACATACGCAACATACGCAGGGATGCAAACAACATGAATGCATGTAAATTCATTCATGGCAATCATATAATAGTCAATTTATCAAATTTATATACTATTGAAATTGTTGCACATAATTTATTAAGAGTAGAAAAATGAACTGGCACTTTTAGCTCTACTGAGAAGTTTTATGAATTTCTGAAAACTGCTAGTTGGAATGAAGCGGAAATTTTTTGTTTTGCTTGCAACTGCAAAACAGAAGAAGCTTTCTTCCTATGTTGCTCTTGCAAACAAAACATTTCGTGTATTAACTGCTGATAACTGAAGCCTACTGATAAAACTTGACAAGCCAAGTGCTGATGCTACTTGTATGATTGGTTATTATTAATAGAATCTACTCTAATTGTATAGTAAATCTTCATATTCAACATAATCTTCATTATTTTGAATCATCATGATTCAACTGAATTGAATTTAATTGAATGCAGAGCATTCAATTTAAATACGTTATGTAGCAAATACGTTACGAGTTATCGAGATTTCATCATTATCATTTTAAATTGATAGATGTAATGAGGAGATTTATGGACATTGACAGTCAGTCGTGATGCCTATCGAAATTATTTATCATAAAGAATATTCAGTTAAAGCATTTATTTCCTGAAGCATAGTAATCATATGGAGCTAATGATAAGAAACAAGATTTATTCGCAACCAAAGAATTGCCAGACCTTGAGTGTGGCGTGATGAATATTCTTATATATAGTCTCCTCGCAGACAGGGATCGACCCACGCGACATAACTTTCCGCCTTGCGCTCCCTCCGCGGGAAGGGCGAATTCCCTAAAACTTTCCTCCTTGAACTGCATGGGAGGGGGAGGGGTGGGCTGCAAGCAGCTCAGAACGAGGGGGGAAGGAAGGGGGTGGTCAAACACTTAGCTAGTTTAAAATACTCTGGCTTGCATACTCTGGGTACTCTCTGGCTGGCATAAAATACTCTGGCTTGCATACTCTGGGTACTCTCTGGCTGGCATAAAATACTCTGGAATGATATTGGGGCGAGGGTAGGGGGCTTCAAGCAGATCAGAATAAGGGAGGGGAGGTAGGGGTGGTTGAACGCTTTAAAACTTTCTGACTTGCTCTGAAATTGGGGGCGAGTGAGGGGGGCTGCAAGCTGTTCAGACTGCGAGGTTGGGAGATGACGCAGTAAAGCGCACCGTCTTGCACAGCCTTTGGGAGGGGGGCTCTTATGGGGGGTGGAGAGGCGAAGCAATTAAGTGTTTGCTCCGTTTGCTGCCGTCGAGGGTGAATCTGCATCCGGCACATAATTAAAAAAATGGATCTGAAATTAAATTTATAAATATTTCTACTATATTTATCCGCGGTACGAGTTTTAAGTACATATTTAGGAGTTGAAAATTCGACGCAATCTGGAAAATGTTTCATACAAATTTTCTGCTGAACGCAACTCGCGTGAAGTTTAAGAGCATCAGATGTCGGCTCTCTTCTTTCGGTCAACAAAACTCTGAGGAATTTATTACCAGAAGAAGCAGCGGACTTATATTGACCTTCAATTTACCATTTTTGGTGCAGCGGGTCTCGCCGGGAAAGATTTAGACACAAACAGGCTTCGCGACCGCAATTATCCCTGAACTTTGACGCGGCCGACACTCGCTTCGAAGTATCTAGAAATAACAAGTAATGTGATGCTCACAGAACGTTTATTTGTTATTTTGTTCTTTACGTTGGGGTGAACATTGTTCCCATGAGTCGGTAGTACTTGTCGACAGGCAAGTTGTTTCCCGAGAGTCGATAGTACGTATCTACTGGCAAGTTGTTTCCCATGTGTCGGTAGGATGTATCTACTGGCAAGTTATTTCCTGGCAGCAAATAGAGTGCATCGGCTGGCAAGTGTTGACAGCACTTATCCACTGGCAATTAGTTTCTCGCGAGTCGGTATAGGCATGTATACTGTATATCTAGATACTCATCTACTGGAAACTTTTTTACTGAGGGTCGGTAGTACGTATCTACAACCGCAGTAGATCTATACAATAGGGTTACATTTTCCAGTATTTACTATAATAAATTGCCAGTTAGTATTTGTTTGGTTAAAACACAGAGAAGTTGCCTTATGCATTCGGTGAAATTTTAACAAATTCTAATTCGTGTAATTAGAGGTAGTCGTTTAAAGTTAGGCTAATGAAATATTTTTTCCCGTATTTCAAGAGTTTGTTTACCGGATATAGCGATGATAATTTGTTGGTTGATAAACTTGAAGTTGTGCAGTTGAGCACAGCGTTCAAAATCGTACCTTGGTAGACCAAAAGAATATCACTATCATTCTATTACTTGAATGCTTCCAGTTTCCAGATTGTCCATTGTTGGGGCTCTCAGAACACCCAACTAGCCTACAGGATCGTATAGGTTCTGGATATTAACGAGTACTTATTAAAACAGTTTATTACACTTTCAATGAACACAATAAATAATATATAATAACTTCGGCACATTAACACTTCAACACTTCATCTTGGATGCATGGCTTTCGAGACTAACTCTTGACTCTGAGATTTGAGATTTAAGACTTTCCTACAAAAGAAACAAATAAAACAGATAAATAATAGTTACCTAAACATTAAAGTATTCATACATATATAACCTAAGTATTTACACAATTTGTTCACATCAATCTATTCACGTACATATATATTTACATGTCCACATCCTAACGCAGCACATACCTCCGCTCCGGCTTTCCACAACAGAATACTACACCTTTGACAAATTCTATGATCGTTCGGTTCGATCGCTCAACAGCCCCATTCCCTTGCGCTCTGTATCTAGTCGAGTACACATGACTAATATTGTAGGCAGATAAGGTACTTTCAAATTCACTAGACCGAAATTCAGGACCATTATCGCTCAACATTCTCGACGGTGACCTAGGCATACATGGAAATACAGAATTGTTCAAGGCATTACAAACAGAAGATGATTTTTTATCTCTAAGTGGCTTGGCATACAAAAATTTAGAAAAATGGTCTACACACACTAATACAACACTATTGCCACAGGATGATATTAGGTCATATTTATACGTATAATAGGTCATATTTAGCCGTCCGTTTTTATTTCTATCCTTTACACCATAACTATAAATAATGCCGTATCCAAAAGACTAATTCGATTTGACAAGTCCAAATTTCGAGCACTATTAAAACTGTACAATGACTTATTTTTAGAGTAAAAGGGAAGCTGCACAAATATTCTTCTGACTTTCACAGAGATGTACGATCTGCCCTCCCTCAGAAAATAATTTTAAAATTCTACCTGCGATATAGTCAGCAAGTCTTGCAGGAGTTTGTAACTACACTACCGTAGTTTAGCTTTCAAATCATCTCTCAGAGGCACATAAATGGAGTCTTTGATAAATGTTGCGGAATCAGGGAGGAAATAAACTTAGTAATCCAATCTTTATTCAACAAATGTTGTTACCTGCAAGAATAATAATCGATGTAAAATACTTATCAATACAACACAACAAAACAATATAATATATAACAAAAGTAACATTTAAGAGACTACAATGCAAGTAAACTTACATTGTAGCTACAAGAAGGGAGAGATCCGTTCATATATACTGGATACAACAAAGAGACTGCGAACGAGCGTTGGAGTCGCGCGACAGTACGTCATGATGTGACGTAGTAAAACTACAGTTCTTTATTATGACAATAAATTTTCACGAGGAAAATACATCCCACACTAAATAGAGTATAAATTTAAAGTATTAATAAGCAGGAATCAAATGAGAGATCAGCGTTCTATGTAAAACGTGAGTGTGAACGTCTCTTTCTTGTAATAGCGTTCACTGCATTCTAGGATTGCATGGATTATATATATCGACCGCGGGCAAGGCGGGCTAGTATAACTGACTAGTATGGCTATGCTAAATTACTCGACATCGCATCAGCAGAAGATCACGTACTTTTGATTGTATTCTTCCTACTATATGCATGCAAGCTTGATATTCGGAAAAAATTCATAGAGGCTTTTACAGCATATAATATAAATGTTTTAAAGGCGCACAGAGATAAATTTGGTAGGTTGAGATCATCGAAGCCGTCAAGCGAGTATTCGAGTCGATGTAATCACCAATAAAAAGTTATCTAATGCGAACTGTCAATGTTCAATGTTAAGTTATCTGGTTTCACGAAAATAGCTATATTAATTTACAAGCAATAAACAAGATATAATTAACGAAAGACTAGTGAGAAAATCGGGGTAAGAGACTTGAGTGTATATCGATGATAGAAGAAGTTTAAATAAGTTACTGCACAAAATTTTGAAAAGGCTGGAAAATTAAATTCAGCTGAGGATGCATCAAACTATGTTGTCACGATGAATTGTCAAGGTTCAGTTAAGAAAGTTATTTAAACAATCCTAATGGCAAACGGTTCATTAACTTAGGAAGCGTAACATTTTAGATATTCCATGATTCTGGAAATGTGCCCTGATTATAGGTAAATCAATTCAATACGAGGCTAAGAAGAAGCCGGGTCGTCTGTATCAATGTTGAATGCATGGCTATAAAACATGCTTGACTTAGCCAATAGCGTCTCAGACACTAGGCGTTCACCATTTGTTTCCTCTTCTTGCAGTCGCAGTCAGGGAACTCAGGCGCTGTGTCGGAGGCGACGCTGGTGCTACACGCGGCCACCGCCGTGCCGCCCTACGCCAGCGTCCAGTACCCTAAGCAGGTATGAAGCATCGTGAATATTGCCTTCCCAATTAAGTTTAACCTAGTAATTATGAGCGTGAAAACAATTAAAGTGCCTTGTTTAGTTATTATGTAGGTATTAATTACGATTACGAGCTCACCAAAAAATAATATGCGCAGCTGGGATATGATTCCAAGCAGGCATAGAATTAAGAGCAGATATAGGATTATAAAAAGACACTTCAAATTCATTCCACTGAAGAGAGCCTCAAGGATAGGTGTCAGCTAGAAGTATTAGAGGTATGGCCTGAAAGATCTGACATGAAGTGAATAAAAATGTATAAACATATATAAATTTATTTTGAGCCAGATGAGAATAAGCCAAATAAAGATCTCAAAAAAGGTCCCACAACATTTCTGGTCGACTCATTAACGAATAATGCATATAATACCTTTTTTTGGATGGCAAAAATATGAGTGTGTATTTAATTGTAATACGGATTTATTTTTTTTTTCAGTACAATTTAGTCCGGTCAGCTGGCACCAGCAGCAGTTGGAACAAGAAATCTTGAAAAAGAAAACCCGAGGAATGTGCCGTTTAGGGGCTCAGTAAGCCCTTCCGTTGAGCCTGAGAGTTCTTGGCATGAATGCACGATTGCCATCATTAATATGCGTTCAATCGGGTTACTAAGATAGATTGAATAAATTGAACAATTAATTAAAAGACTCATAATCGATTTAATCTCACTTGAATATTTGTGTAGTTGATCGGTAAATTCTTGACATATTTTCTTAGCAACTGACTAAAACATTTCTCGACACGAATCCCAATCTGTTTTTTGAGAGTTTGTAGATGACTTGCTACCTTAAACCTGTAAGGACGATTGAAGAGAGCTCTAAAATCTTCACACCATTCAGAAAAAGTTTCCGTGAACTCACACCTACAAATACAAAAATTCTGCTTTTATCTGACATGTACCTAAATTTTATTCTCAATTTAAACTCGGGAAATGGGATTGCATTTTTATGACTGTAATACCTTATTTATTGAACATTTTAAAACGAGCCACGTATCTTGAAAATTTAGCTTGCAATGGAAGCCTACCAGTCTCGCTCGACTGGACCGTGTTCATTTTCCTTGAACCTGCTCCACGGGATGTGGGGCTCTGCTCGGAATTCCCCTTCAAATTTGTCTTGTTTACACAGCCTAGTCTGGCCTGACGAAGGCGGTCCAGTCAATCGCCCAAGAGAGTAAGAACAATTATTTTCATTTCAATTAATTTTCAGCTCCCTTTTTAGGTCTGTATGATTATGACTAAATGAAAATTCCTAATGGTGAGCTTTATGCGCTCGCGATGAACATTATAGTGATATGAGGTGTGGGGTGGTGTTTTAGATTGAGTCAGTTCATATAATTCCCATTACTAGTAAAAAAGGCGAGTATTTAATTAAAATCAAGATTCTGCGTAATGTTTTAAGAAAATTGAGCCAATGCCGGGATGGAAAGATCACTAGGATAAATATTATGAAGCGAGAATGATAGAGGAGCGAAAAGGAATCGGATGTGAAACGAATCCCTTCGCTGGAGAATAATCTAGTCTCCTAGTAACGTAAGAATTTAATTTATCTCACACATGGATGGAATCCACTATCACTTGAGTGGAATCCACTCTCACTAGAGTGTAATCCATTTGGATATTACCCGCTGCTGGACCTTGATACAGAAACTTTGATTAATTGTCGCCCTTTAGGTGGTTAAAATAGGTACTGCGATTATTTGACGGAGTTAGACAATAGACCTGGAAATCCAATGATTGTCTTCAAGTCCCTGGAAATCCAATGACTAACTAAACTTGTGAATAATATTCCAAGGAAAATCATTAGCTTCTTACAAGAAGAAATGAAAACTTGAACGAATCTCATAGTGAAGAAAATATGGAAACTTCTAATTTATTTGTGAGCATAGTACGTTAAAGTTGACATATCTGTCAAATGGCTGTAATCCCACGAATTTGTTATTTTTGCTTAGCTTTTGTTCCTCCGAATTTTTGTGGCAGCTCATTTATAGCTTGGTGAATGTGGTTTTCTATCAAATAGCTAAATATCGCTAAATTGGAGGAAGAATTCAAAAGTGAAATATATGAAAAATTTCCTTCAAGTTCAACTGAATTAATACTATGAACTATCCACCGTAATATTTTTCACCGATTTGATTTCAAATTAATGATACGATCGGAAGAAGGGAGGAAGCAGCCGGTCTCTACTCGTTGATATTAATAGTGAGCAGACAAACAACGAAGCTGGTTCAGACTTCGCAGTGGAAACTGTCCTTCGCTACTTAAAGATCTCGTAGCATCGATTCAAGGGACACCATAATACTTTCATATTTATAGCTGTGTGATATTTCAAGCATAATGGACATAATAAATATAATGCGCACGAATTGCTTCTCTTTGATTTAATCCGCAACGAGTTATTCCGTAGGATCATGTACCTCATGACTCCCGATCATGTACCTCATGACTCATCATCTTGTAACAGGAAGTATAACATCCTAGTAATGCTGCAAGTACTAATTTATGTGCTGGTCAATCGGTTTGACAAGCACAATTTTGAGCCGTCACTCAACATGTCACCTCCAGACCGGAGGACCGAAGAATGAGACCCTCACTCGAGCGACGATTTAGACCTACACCAGCATCGTCATGAGACGCCCAGACGCCGAAGGCTCTCATCAGTAGACATCATCTATCATGCCACTTCTCCCGAATATATTAACTTATAAGTATTTAGGACGGAAAGGAACACTTAGTGTATTTGTGCAATATTTTATCACACATATGATCGTAAACGATTGCAGGAGAACGTTCTTGAGAATAACTTGTCAAAGGCACTGAGTCATGACAGTAATCTTTTGTTCTGTAATAACAATTAGAGAAAGGCAGATTTTGCGGTGGACAAGGGACATAATTCTACCCTGTCTCCAACGTTTTTAAGATCAGTTGTGAAAGTGTGAGAGCATAAACGCAGCCGCACTACACTCGTACATTGCGCGTTAAACCCACTGGAGTGACGCAGTTCCGGGACGACGCCTGAGTCTTGCGGCAAACGTTCGACGGAGTCATCAGGTTAGTCGTTCGTAGTCATGACTGGTCTGCCAGCCACCTCATTACGGCCTTGCCTCCGGTTCACGTCGGGACTTTGAAGAAACGTCCGGTCATCGTCATACCGCATTTGCTTTGCCTGTTGTAGCAGTGTTTGTCTGCGAATTGCCCTATGTTTGAGAATGGTCGAATGAAATTGACATCTATAAGTAGGTTTGAAGTCTCCGACAGTGGTTCCCAAACTTTTTCTATTAATTATCCCTTGGAGGCCTTCTATGGTCGCGGTGCAACACTAGGTACACGTTGCGTTCAACCAATACAATGCAGAGGCCCTTGCATTTTATGTTATTACTTATTAATATCAGCTGCGTATTATTTGACACAAATTTAGCGAATAATCTATATTTAATGTTTGCATTAAATGGTGGGCTGCTGGCACTATATGGATGGCGTGTGGAAATAGTGGCTAATTGCTACTATTTCCAAATATTATCTTACATAGGCATAAAATATTGATCATTGAAATTTCAGGCGGTAAAAAAATTGCGAGCCACATTTACACTGCATTATAAACCAATAGTCTAGAACGTAGCCAATATTTTAGTAGTTTTGTCAATAAAAACTGCTATATAGGCAGTTATTTCAAGATTCATGGAGGATGGTGTAAATTAAGGCCCGTTGCCTACAGTCGTTTGAGAACGTTCACACATGTTCACGTCTGTTCTGTTAGTTCATTAATACGCACTCGCAAACATGCAGGAGGAACTACCGCCAACGTTGCCTGAGCGCGGTGAAGTTTCAAGCATGCCACGTGCATCATCAAAATTTTCTAAACCGATGAATGGTTATACTCTATTTAATAGCAATTTATGTGGTCGACTTTCATGACGTGAAGAGCTCAATTGAAAATCTAGGTTGAAAAAACAAAAGTTTATACTTCTGCAACAACGGCCGGAATTCTCTCATAAAATGTCGTCAACGTTCACAAATAGGGTTTGATAATTTTGTTTGGCGCTGGCTCTTATTTGGCTAGCGAAAATTCGGAAACCGTGTTTGCAGAGAGTGTTGGGTCGGTGTACATGGGCCTGGTGATGCCCCGCACTGGCCAAGATCAAAAGTTGCCTGAATGCAGCAGTCAGGCACCGCTTGAGGTGACGGTACGTGCTTACCGTCAGTGCTGTTGCAGCAGCCAGCGTGTGTGGTGGTTGGGTGATCGATAATCGTGGTCTTAAAATAATCCGTGACGGACGAAGACGGAGTCAAATGCAAATGAATTGATAAATATACTTCTCATAGCTTGATTTACGGCTTTGTTACTTTACTCCAACTCTTTCCAGCATGTCGCTGGCAAGGAGATGGAATATTTTCGTGTTAGCTCTAAATGCGATGTGTTTAGGATGCAGTGGTTGTGCGAACGCTTGAAAAAACTATACATTTGTGATAATTCATGTTACAATTAGTTTATTATGTGAAGGACTGACAGTGAATAAGAAACATTTTTGAAAGTAGCCTCGTTGAGCGTCATGGAAGTTACAGGAAAGAAGGAAAACAAGTTTTCGTAAACTTTAGCTCTTCATAATAATGCTAACGCGTCCTAATATATGGAAAGCTGAAACATGAATACGAAGAAAGTTTAATGAACTATCGAAAGTAAAATCTCACAAACTTTTAATAATGCGTTTAAAGTTTGGAGAAAAATCCATCATTTGATGTGGCATTCAAAGTTTGTCATATTGAGCAGGAAATGGCATTCATACGCTTTTCAGTTACGATAGTCACGTAGTTAGGATGCTGGTCCACGCTAGGCAGTTGGCATCACAGACGCCCGGGCGACTGACTGCTGAAACTCCATCACGCTCGATTAGACGAACTTGACCTTAGAAGGTTCTCTGAAGCGTTAACTCATCAGAATCGGGTAAATCGTATGATACTTTTTGAATATTTTGAAAATGGAAAGATTTTTTGTGAGAACAGCATTTGAGAATTCTAGGTATCTTCAACGTTCGAACCCTGCAGGCAGGAATTCTGTAGAAGTAGGCATGCCGCATGAAGACATCAGGGTGAAATATATTGGATCGAAAAGCCCAAATCTAGACTCTCCTCTGTAACTAGTTGATATTTTGAATTGATAAAGTTTGCAGGATGAATTGATTTCGCGCAAGTTTCCAGGCTGAGTGTTATACCTAACTCATTCTAAGAAATGCATTCATTTTTAATTGTGGATTCACTCCATAGAATATTATATCATAATATATTTCCTCTTCACTGAAGTACCTACACTTCAGTCCAATTAATTTTCTTGCAGTCAACCGAGATGGTAATAGGAGAAATGAAACAACCAAAATGCTCGAAATCAAGATATGCATTGAGACTATACACTACAGACTACAGTAATCGCTCACCAAATCCAATCGCTGGTGTTTCGTTCTAGATCCGACCACGTTAGGTGAAATCCGCGATGTGAAATTTATCGAGGGATAGTACGTATTTTTTTTGCAGTTTAAGTTTTCCTTAATATAAGTGTTTATAAATCAATTAAATTATTTTTCTCAATATCTATGTTTCATGTTAAAAGATTTCAGAATTATTCGTTTGAAAAATCTGTAACGCTGAACGACGGATTTCGTTAGGAACCCGCTAAACAGATAAGATAAACAAAAAATTTTCACATTATTATTTCTTGAAAATCCGTGATTTAGTGAAGCTGCGGCAGGTGACGCTCGATATAGAGAGATATGTTGATCCTTATTTGGTCACCGATTTAAAGAGACTACATGAATGTCTTGAGTTTTCATTACATTGCGTACATTTGTTAGGGTACCGCTAGACAACTCAGCGAAGAGCCTTTTCAGGGACCAGTTTGACTAGTTTTTCTGCCACCAGAAATCCTCTCCGAGGACACGAGTGAACGGTGTCAGTGTTGTTAAATGAACGAATTCTGCACACTGATGACTTAATAAATATCATCGGCGAAGTGGGTATTGCATTTATTTTATTGTTATCACGAAACCGCCGACGGATCCGGGGATTTTACACGAATTTGTTATGTTATGCTGAATCACTGGTTTGTTCACCGTCGATCGGATCGTCCTGCAGTCTCGGGATGGCCCCCAGGCCGGTATGAACTTGTTTACCCGGAAGCCCTGCAGGGTTTTCGGCTTGCTGGGCAGGTTGTATTAAATCGAAGAATCCTGAGAGCGATGACTTGCCTATTCAGCTGCTGGTTGCCAACGTGCTGAAAATTCTAATCTTGAATCATTTGGCGACAGCGAACCTTATAAGTACGGGTAAGGTTTTGATAAACTTGTTCAAAGGTATTTTCCTGATTATATTCGCATGTTGGTTTCACTTTATCACAGTACATTTAATCTCAAACGCTGGAATACGAACAATGCATTAAATAGATTCACATAACAATTATTTATAACTATTCAGGAACTTTTTTTTGTTCAATAAAATTTTTCATGGATGCCTAAAATTATTGTTTTTTTATCTTCTGAATGGAACAAGGACCTGATTTTAATGTTCTGAAGATAATTATTAATAGTTCATTTCTCATTTATGAATCGATTAATGTATTGCCATTAATAAGGAGCACTAAACTACTGAGCGGACTCGTTTTTACCGTCACTATTCGGATTGCCAGCTTTCATTTACCAAAGTGAGGGATTTTTACAATTTTCCCGTTCAGCGTCGCTTAAATTTTCAGACATCCATGTATTTCAAAATTTAATAAATAAGATCTACTTGTCAAAAAATAATCGTACACTAAGCTCTTTCCACACAAATTCATGACTTAGCAGTTTTTTTATGCAACATAAGTTTAAGATATTGGGGCAATCAACGAAACAAATTCCCATTAAATTAATTAAGGAGGAGAGATATTGTGTTAAAGATTTTCGTTTATGCGCTAGATTCCAAATTCAAAAATATAGCAACAAAACTTTTCATGGCTATCACATGACATGAATGAATAAACTAATTTTTAGCTCGTTCCACTACTATATTGATAAATATTTTATGCCCTTATTTACGTGGTGAAGATTAAAAAATTGAATTTATCGAAAGCAAAAACTATTGTTTTAATCTTATCTCTACCAAAGTATGCCTATATTCTAATTATTATGATTTTCTTTCTATATATGCTAATGAAAGCAAGACAAAAGATTTGGTGTTTTTATAACAACAAGTCATGCGATGTGCGTGGCTGAAGGCTAATCTGACGGAACTGCGTGGCTGAGGGCTAATCTGACGGAACTGCGTGGCTGAGGGCTAATCTGACGGAACGCATTTCTATTCCTCAGTTGAAATGCGCATTTATTCCTCAGTTGAGTTGTAT